ACCAGGAGGTCATGGTTTGAGTCCTGTTCAGGGAACATGCTTGGGTTGCGGGCTCAATCCCCAGAGGCAGAGGGTGTACAGTAGGCATCTGATCAATGATTTTCTCTCATCATTGTTGTTTCTATCTCTTTCTTCCTCTCCCTTTCTCTATGAAATCAATAAAAATATCTTTTTTTTTTGAAGTGACATAGCTCGAAGTTAATTAGGCTTATAAGAAAACTGAGGTATCATAATTATTTTCTCATTTACTACTCAGTTATTCAAATCTGAAAAATTCTAGTATTTCTTATAGAAAATGGGAATGTCTACCCTAAACGGTTGGTGTGAATCCAATGAGAAAAGATAAACATGTTGAGAGTTACTTAGAAAGTGTAGAGCATTATATAACTGTAACTTGTCATTAATTTAAGGTCTTTAAGTTATACATGATGTCAGAATTTTGTAAGAAAGCAAGGATAAAGGTAATATTAATGCCTGCTTTTTACTGAGTTGATCTTTAATATGTTTAAGCCTGTCAAATTGATGGAAACCAGCTGTGTGGACGGGCACAGTCAGGTGGCATTGGTTGGCGTGCAGCCAGGAGAGCCTGTACTTCTATTTCAGGTTAATCTCATTTTTCTTCTCTTTATCACTCCTTGTTCTAGGACTGCTTATTCGTGTTTTTCCTCTCCCATTGCCCCCAGTACTAGTGTAAAATTATCAGCAGAATAATTAACACTAGCAATTTTAGGCTATGCATGCCCTTAATAATATTTTAATTTTGTTCCTTCAGAAATAAAATTTCCTTCAGATAATTTGTGAGGATTCTTCAAAAAAGCAAAAATACTGTAAAGAGAAACATCATTTTAAAAAGTAGAGTAGTTTACATTTTTATGTAAAAAAATACAAGCACACAGAGATGTGTCTATTGAATGCATAGACTGGGGATGTTTGTCCAAAATATTCTTTGTCAATAACAGGAAGGAACTCAAGTGTACTTTCCTGAGCATTAAGTGATAAGATTGTACACTTCAGTTGTTTCTTCCACACCTGCAGAGAAACAGATGCAATGACCTAATTGATTTTTTACAATTCTATTGCCAAATACCACACCGCATTTGTGTGGTGTTTCAATGACCTCTAGTCCCTACTCTGTCTTTCTCTACCCACTCTATTTCAAATGCTTCGTTACATTTTATAAAAGATGTAGTAAGATTTGTAGAGAAAAGAGGGCCATAAAAAGTGAATGTTGCCTTAGCTACATATGTTCTAGGTCCCTCTGACCCATAAGAACATGCAAATTTTCCTCTTGATTTTTATTTTCCATTTACACTTGCAGGTTATTATAGAAAAAGCTTCATAAAGAAATTATACAGAAATAAAATGGAATTGTAATTAAATATCTACTTTATAGGTTGATTATTTCTGGTGTTCAGTGCACACACAATAGATAGGAAAATTGTTAAAAATGCAATTCTGGTATAACCACCAGAACATCTAATTTGGTGGGGTGTCAATGTGCCCATTTTATTACTCTGCTAGTTGGTGTCAGAGGCAGAATTAGAAGTCAGTTATGACTCCCTGTCTCCTGTGCTACAATGTTCCCATTAAAGCTGAGCAATTTAAACAGCGAAATTTTACTTATTGAATATTTGATACACGTTTTTATGATGACCTAGGGCTTTCTCAGTTAGAAAACGGGCATTCCACCAGCCAAGGCTGCACGGCATCTCAAGAGTGAATCCGCATCCAGAAGAGTGTTTTCCAAAATAGTAACCACTACCCACATGTTGCTACTGAGTGCTTGAAATGTGGCTGGTGTGATCAAGAAACTAAATGTGTAACTTTATTGCATTTTAATTAACTTAAATATCTACACATGGCTGCTGGCTACAGAGTCATTCTGCACAGATACAGAGCCTGCCATCATCATCAAGAGCCCGCCGGGTGTGCTGACTACATTGTCTTCCCTGCCTTGGTCTAGGTGTGCCTTTACGTGTTTCAAAGGAACTGCTGCTCCCCAACGAAAAGGCGGCTGCCAAGAACAATGGCAGAGGCCCCCTGGGTTATATGTAAAGTGACCTGGTGCCCAGACGCCTTTGTTCTTAGGGGCATTTACAAGGAACACAGAGGCCACACCTGGATTCAAATCCTGTTATTACCAGGCCTTAGCTGAATGTCTGGACAAATTTGATCCTTAATTTCTTCATTTGTAAATGGCAAAAGCTACTGATCATGTTAAATGTGCTCAAGGTAGCAAAAGCCCGAAATCTGTGACCTCCTCCATATTTTGCCTGAGAGAGAAATACTGCAATATTTAGCCAACTCTCCCCTAGACACCTATCTCCCTCCCTCGTAAAGAGATTCCACAGTAGATAGGGAAATTGTTAAAAATGCAATTGTGGTACAACAAGCAGAACATCTAATTTGGTGGGGTGTCAATGTGAGTCCTCATATTTAACTTCTGTGAAAGAGATTCATAGGGAAGGGGCTCAGCTTAATGCTTATTTACCTGATCATCAACAGCCCATTCACAGCATACCTTTCTTTGGCTATTAATTCCAAGTAAACAAGAAAGGCTTTTCCAGTTCTAATTGGGCCAGTGTCTGCCATCCTGAGTTTTTTGTTCAACCCTCCCAGCTAAGATCCTCAGAGCCTGTGTCTCCAGGTAGCATGAAACGCTATTCAGAATGCCTCTTAGATCTCATACTGGCAGCAGTGATGTTAATGAGAAGCACTTGCTCTGTTCTTCTGGGCAGCATCTCTCCTTCCTTCCTCCCTCCCTGTCTCTCCCTTCCTTTCTTCTCAGTAACCTATGTCAGCACAGAAATCTAAGCTTAGGGATACAGAACTCTTATGAGAATTGATTTGCTTAACCCAAAGCTTCTCAACCTCAGCTGCATTTTATAATCATTTGAAACACAATTAAAGCACTAGCATACTGCATACAATTTATCTTGAAAGCTCCCAAGAACAACTGGCAACATCAGTGGAGACAGAAATAAGAACAGAGCCACAAATGAAGTATTTAACAGGAGCAGCCACCTGTAGGAGGAGTTAGTGCAATCAGCGACACAGGCAACCCACTATTTTTTCTATTGTTCTGAGCAGTTGTCATTTTCACAGCACATATGGGACATTCTAGTCACACGGATCCATGCTTAGCTTACCCACTTCTGCTCCGGCACATCATAGCAAGTCTATTTGCTCAAGATAATCCTTAGGATTGAGGTTCGGCAGTTAAATGCAGAGAACAAAAGAGTGTGGGGTAAACTCTGACATGGAATCTTTAAGAAATGTTTTTATTTTCAAACTCTTGCATTGATGTACGTCATTGTCCAAGATCCCTTCCACTAAGACATCGCATAGGAATTGAACCAAGTAATTGTGAGAGTGTAGACATACTAGGTGGCCATTCGTGAAAGGGTTTATTTATTCAAAACCTTCTGCTATTGTGTTGCAACTGACAATTGGAACAATAATAAAGTTAGAAAAAGTCAATATTGAAGACAGAAACCTGCTATTTTACAAACACATAAACACAGTCACAAACACACACACACACACACACACACACACACGCACGCACACACACACCCCCACACACACACACACTACCTTTGTTGAACCTAAGTCTAAGCTATCTAGCAATTAGAATAGGAGAAATGAAATAAAGCAAGTACATACTTCAGCAATTCATCCAGTCAGGTGTATCATTATATTTTTATAGCAGTAAGATGCAGGAATTTATTACTAAATATCGCAAATATAACATAATGGCTTTTCTCGCCATAATTATCCTTCAGAAAAGAGAGCTGCCTTATTTCCAAGCCTTTGCAAATCTTGCTTTACAAGTTGTTCTCTATTTGCTACAGGAAAGATGCATTAGCTTGAAATACCCTGAATCAATTCTAGTGCTAGCCGTTTTATTCAGGATAACATATAGAATCACGAAAGAGGAGGCAAAGACAGTTTGTATAGATTTTGTTTTTGTGCCTGAGGATTTGACCTCTCAGATTCAGATGTCAGTGTAAAAATTTCTCTTAAATATCTTCTTAAAAACACTGTACAATTAGTTTCTACATGATGGAGATAATTATTATACTCCTGCTGGATGAATAAACAACGAAGACTGTTGTAATGATATAAAAATTTATACTAGTTGTTGCTTGGGACAAATTTGTCATTGATAGTATCTACACTTTCAAAAAAGTGCTTCTAAGTAAAATTATTTCATTAAATGCAAGGGTGGAAAAAATAAGTTTTCTAAATTAATATGTTTTATATTAGTTTAAATATGGGCATATAATCAAATTGATAAATTCAATAGTGCAACTATATATATAATTGATCCATGAACATCCTTAAAAGTCTGTATTCTTAAAAACATGTTTTATATGATTGGGCAAGTGAGAGTTTTCTTTAAAATTGATATATTCTTATATATTGGTATATATATATATCTATATATATATATATTATATATATATATATATATTTGTTTATAATACTTGTATTCAATTAATACTAAAAGCAAAAACAGATTGTTAAATCTCTGTGTGACTTCTTACTTATTCACTTAATTTTTTTAACTAATGAACTTCACTCTTAGGAAAGCAACAAAGATCACTTGATTTGAAAAAACTGCGACAAACACCTCCAGAAAAAAAGTGGAGGTAATAAAAATAGCATATCACAATGCCAGAGGTGAGGAAAAAATAATCAATCTATACCCAATGCAGCCACAAAACCAAAAGAATATGGTATCTGGATTGTTAAGAGAGAGCATAAAGCTATTTTTGAAACAGAATTAGAACTATTTATATTATTAAAAAGTTGGCATAGGTTATCTTTAGTGTTTATGACTTGCAAACTAAAGCATTTAATATTTAACATGTTTAAATACAAGCAGCAGCAGTTTGGTAATCAAAAGGAATAATTTGAATCATCTCAGAAATAAATTCATTATAATTAGGACATTTCAGAATATGATTAAAACATTGAAAAGAAAATGTATTCACCTTTCTTGTCATCAAAGTACAGAGTCTGTTGAGCTGGATTTGACCACTGGAGGGAGGTGTTATCATTTTGATCAACCCTGCAGGTCAAAATTGCAGTTCCTCCTTCAACAACTGTTACATTCTGTGTTAGTGGAAACTGCCCTTGGCTGCCTAAAAGGGAATTAAAGAAAATGTTGATTAAATGAAAGTTATAAAATGATTAATTTCCCAAGAGCTTCATTGTATTTACCTTCTTAATCAGAAAAAAAAATTAAACCAACCAAACAACAACAAAACTGTATATTGCAAAAGGAAAAGTTATTGAAAATCCTTAATCAGATGGCAACAGTTTTGACATACAATTAAGACCCCTTTGCATTCCCTCACATGTTCCAGGAAACATTCTTTTTCCTCCTAGACACATATAAACATTTGTGTTTAAATAGTAATATGAGTATCACTAACTTCTCTTGGCCTTGCATCAATTATAGTAAATTGTGCTGAAACTGGTCATCTTTGAAGATAAGGCTTTGGAATAATTTTGGATGAATTGAACTCTCTTTAGATTTAATTTTTGATAAAATAAGTATTTTAAAAATCTTATTTCACTAGGATTTCTTGTATGTATAGCTGTTTTTAGAAATACAAAATGTGTATTTAGTAAGTAGTTTTCAAAATAGTGTTCATTTTGTAGAATATCCATCAAAGTCTTAAAGTGATTACTCTAACCTTGGAAATCAGGATAATATTCTTCTTTGTTCCTTTCTGTAGTTTTAATGATTTGAATACATATTTCCTTTATAATCAAAAAAATGTTTAAAATAACCCTTGTCAATTTGGATATTATGAGAAATTGAGTTTGCTGTCTTCCTAAGTGTAGTTATTTATTAAAGAAATGCATGTAATAACCTTACTTAAAAATAGTACTTCCAATATTTAAAACAAAATTCATGCTTATAGAAACATAATACATAAATGTTAGGTGAGCAAGAGGATCTGAAGATGTGCTCTGCCAGGTCTGGTAACAATTAGCAACATGGGTAAAAATTTATTTTCTTCAGCCAGCTTAAAACACTCTTGTATGAGCAAGGTAGTTCATTAAGTCAAGGATAATTTACAATGTAAGAACATTATGATGACTTAATCACACCCATGAAATATATTTCCTTTTTTTCTTTAGTTTTGTAATGATTCTATCATTACTACAAGCACCACTTGAGGTTATGCTGGAGATATTGGCATAAAGAATCTATTACCAAGAAGCCGGTTGATTGGCACCATAAGATACAGAAGAGCCTGAAGGGGAAATCTTCTTTCCAGACCTAAATGACACAAGCACAGAGGTTCATGGCCACTTTATATAATTAAGCTTATCAAGTATAAAAATTTGATATCAGCAGCTTTGTCTCCTCAATGCCAACCACTTAGAGTCACTATGGCAACTCCCCAGGACATGTCCCTCTAATCCTTAGGGTGGAGTTTTTACATTGAGGTTAGGAGATGTCTGGCACAAATGATTTGATAGCTGACTTGTATGTCAACAGGAGCCAGAGTGGGATGTGTCTTTCTTTCTTCAGCTCAAAGGTGACTCCTAGCTGGGAAACATGGAGAGCTATCAATCTTGTGAAGTGAGGTGAAGTGAAAAACCACATCAGAGAAAATATAAGTAAAAACAGAAAAAAAGAAATAATTACCACTGATTCAGGATTAGCAGCTCATAAATATGAAGTTCAGAATGATTTTAAGATACTTTGCTTGGGTTCCCAGGTATTGACTTAATACATAAATAAAGAAATCTGGGGGATGAGGGAATTCTTTAAATAATAAAAAGCACACAACTGATAGTAAATACACATAGTTCATCCAAGATGACAATTTGACTATCAACAGGTACGTAGGTATACTGTCTACTTCTTTCAAGAAGTGTGCTGGGGTGGGGGTGGGGGGGAGCAGTGATGCTTGTAACCATTTCATCCACTGCATTTGCAAAATAATTTGAAAACATCCCCATAAGAAAATATTATCCTTCTCATTTCATAGGTGGGTAAACTGACACTGGGAGGTGAAGTGATTTTTCCATGGTGAAACAAGGTCAATGAACCATTCAGAGTTTGTTCTGAAAGTTCAACATTTTATTCTTATTTTTTCACAAAGCCTTCTTAGTCACAGTAACTTTGTTACTATTTGTTTAAAAATTAATTAGACATTTAAGAAATAAAGAGTAAGCTCTTTAACAATAAAACTTCAAATTGCATACCTAGCTGAACTATGTCCTCATAAATTTCAGTTATAACATTAAAATCAAATAAGAAGAGATGTCAGCCCTGGCTGGTTTGGCTCAGTGGATAGAGCGTCGGCCTGCGGACTCAGGGGTCCCTGGTTCCATTCCGGTCAGGGGCATGTTCGTTGGTTGCCGGCACATCCCCAGTGTGGGGTGTGCAAGAGGCAGCTGATCAGTGTTTCTCTCTCATCTGTGTTTCTAACTCTCTCTTCCTCTCTGTAAAAAAATCAATAAAATATATTTTAAAAAAAGAAGAGATGTCAGTATTAACTGCCCTTAAATATTCTATTCTATTCAGAACTCATTTTTGTTAATTATTTCAGTCTTTCCTTACTGGCCCATAGAAGGAAGAAAGTAATATTCCATAGGGTCTTCTACATGCCAGGTACTGTATATACCCCAGTGCACCTGTACTTTGTCCTCGGGAATAGGAGATTGGGACAGCTTTCTTCCATCTTCTCTCTGTGTGGATTCTGACTTTAAAGTATTACACCTTCAATTTCACTGGGACCTGCGGCCTAAAGTCCCTGTGGTCAAATAATTTAGTTTTTCCCAATAGAGAGCAAACTCATGTGGAGAATCTACTAATCCTAAACACCCTTAGGATATGTGATTTCCAAAATCAATCCAAAAGCCAGTGTTGTAGAGGCAGTCAAACAAACTTCTCAAAGATTGAAATTGCCTTTTACTTCTGGTTATAACCTTGAAAAAGCATCACGTTAGCTGATACTTTTTGCTTTTAACTCCTTGTGGCTCAAATCTTTCCAAAAAAATTACTAATTTTCCCAGTTAGCAAAATTAGTATATGTGCCAAATTAAGGATTCATCCTCAATACCTTCATCAAACAAATATTTTGGGGGATCCACTACATGCCTTGTCTTGTATGAATCAGCATCTGAAAGATGCATAGAGAAAGAAAATTTTTCTAAGGGAACTGTAAAATAATCAGAAACTTTAGCAGAGAGTGTGATGGAAAGGGAGAAAGAAGACAGTCTAGGTGTGGTGCTGTTTACTATCTACAAGGATTTCTAAAATGCATTGGTCATATCATTGAGGCATTATTTTAAAATGATATTTACTCTGCCTAAGCTCACCACCATCTTTGGTTTCAGAGGAGTAGTTCTAAAACAAGTTTATGATGATATTTAAAGGAAGCACAACTTCCAATTTAGAATTGCAGAAGTTGGCTATTTTCCCAGGCAACCTATATCCATCATTTTCCTCCTTCCCTCTGTGTGTTTATGTCATTTTATTATTTGCATAAATATCAGTCTCCCTCACTTGTTTCTAAGCTAATTAAGGGCCAGGTAACAAGGCATCTTATGTATTTTTGAGTCAGCTACATTGCTTAACTTTCTTTGTTGTGAATCAGAATTCTCAGTTGGTACATATTGCCCAAAATGAAAGAATCTTCTAAGACCAGTGGCTGGCATTTGCAGAGAAACCTGTGATAGAATGACCAGAGTAATTCAATTCTGTTGCATTGGTTCATGATCAAAACGGAGGAGAGAAGGAGAGACTAATTCCTAGAACAGACATACCTAACACCATTGTCAGCTCCCAAAATGGGACATGAAAGGACAGACTGTGCTGAATCTATGCTCCAGAGGGGGGACTTAGAAGACAATGACTTTTCTTAAACATTAAGTATAATAAGGTCTATTAGTACATAAGCCCTCTTAAGAAAATAGATTTCTCTGACTATAAGTTTTTTATCTTCCCTTCATGGTGCAATTTCCCTTTTATCAACATTCAATTTAATAGCACCTGTGGATGGAAAAAAAAGAGGGGGGGAGTTCTACAGAAAGTGGCCTCACAGGAAAATCTGATCATAAATTCACAGGGTAGTCATGACTCAGGCCCATAACTTCTTTAGGAAAGGTCTTAAGTCAACCCTGTTCATTGTTCTTCTGCATCTAGGTTAACACACCTTTGAAATACAAAAGTAATACCAGGTATTAACTCAAGAAAACACATAATCCTGTTAACTATCCTGTAATCAGATCCCCATCATGCTTTCTCACAGTCCTACATCTTCTTCCTTAGTTCCCTCCTTAATCACAAATGCATAAAATAAGCTGCATTTGATATATTGCTACCTGACACACATCCTCAGTTTGGCTCAAAAACTCTCATAAAAGTTATTACAGATCTGGATATTTTTTATGCCGACATACCCTTCCTATGTCATGTCATCCCTCAATTGTCACTAAACCAGTGGTAAACACATGGAAAATACAACTAACCTTAACTGAGCATCCACAATATGTTAAACACTATTCTAAGTACATCTCTTTCAGCAAGAATATAATTTTCATGCCAATAATATTGTCATCTCTACCCAGAAATGGACTGGACAGATGCAAGAAAACCTTGAAAAACTTGCCCACAGCCACAGAGCTGGGAAGGGCGGAGACAGGTTTTGAACTCTTGTACTCTGTCTTCAGATCTCATGTGTTTAACCACTGAACTGCTTTGAAAGTAAAGTGAAAATTTTGATTGAATAATTGTTATAAAAGAAGCAGCTAGTTTGAAATCAAACATTTCAAAGATGCAATTAGACCGTTTGCATCTATTTTTAGTAAGTAAAAGTAGCATCTTCAACTTAAGTAGGAGCAGCTGGGCTCACCTAGGCTGATAGTGACAACCGCAGTCTACTCACTTCATGCTCAGTGAGCTATGTCGGTCTCTTGAAATTGACCACAATGGGATTATTTTCATGGTGGAAACTGGCAAACAATCCAGGCCAACTTTTTTCTTTCTTTTTCCCCCACAGAGGCAGTTGTTAAACATATACATGTACAGCACACCACCGAGGACGCCACCCTCGATGCCTCTTGGTGGAGCTTTGCATGCATTGTTAGTATAAATAAGGTGTTTTGTTTTGTT